TAAAATAACCAAACACCTTAGTATTTCCAGCAACGAAGTATTTAATAAAATAAAGTATTATATTATATCAAGATAGTTTTAATCCTGAATTCAGTATTTCCTTTAAGCTGTTCTTGTCCAACACTTGCAAGAAATGTGATGAATACACGTGAAAAAGTCCACAGGAGAGGATACAAGAGTTATACCTTTGCAAAGTTGATGCTGCAAAACAGCAGCTAAAAAAAAAAAAGAAAGAAATTTTTTGCTAACTGTTGACTTACAGCAAGCTTTGCCTATTCCTATCTTATCAACTGAATGCATATTTTATTTGATGCAATTATGGACTTATAATTTTGGTATTTAAGTCCTGCATGAAAACAATGATGTTGTGATGGACTTTCTGTAATATGCATTTATAAAGAAGAAAATAAGGTATTGTAGTTGCATTTTGTATTTCAGAATGGATTTATCATTAAAATATTAAATGTTTATTATTATTTTGATTTGTATACCATTATTTTCTTACTGCATTGCAATTAGAATTTTTTTCAAGACTCAAGGATTAATAAAAAATAAGAAAAACCCAACAATGTTATAATTTTTTTAATTATATTACAAAATGGTTACATTTCCTTTTACTTAAATATCTCATTTTATTTAATAATTGAAATATGCTATTATTGCTCTCAGCCTCTCAATTTTATTATTGTCTTTTATTTTATTGAATTTTGTTTCAGGATAATTTGCACCAAGTAATATCACAATTTTATTTTTATTCTTAATAATATATAAGTGATATAATATTTTATTTTATTAATATTTTTAAAATTATAATTATTAAATTTTTGTTAACAATAATATTATTATTTAAAATAATTTACATTTAAACTGCAAAAGTTTTAAGTAAATTAAACTGTTTTTTTTTTTTTTTTTTAATATTAGACTGATGGAAATGCAAGCTTTCTTCGTGCTGCCAGAGCAGGAAATTTGGAAAAAGTATTGGAATACTTGAAAGGCAGTATTGATATTAATACTAGTAATGCAGTAAGTATTTTAAATAATATTTTTAATTAATATAGTGTGTGCAAATTTTTATGTACAATAAAGCTATTAACCAACATTAATTTTTAATAATATAATAATAATAATAATAATCAGAGCTGTCAAGAGCTTGTATGGGGCCTGGGGTAGAATGGATGCCCTTTACTTTTTAGCAGGCCTTTTTAGTTTTTTCTTTTTTGTTGAACAAATGAAATATGTAGAATGTTTATTAGTAAAAAGCAGTCTTAACAATTTTATTTTTTGTTAGTAAAAATAACATTAATTTTATAGGAGTAGAAACAACTATGGACACTAAATTTTTTGCAGATCTGAGTAAGGTCCACAACTCCATCTCTTGACAGCCCTGATAATAATAATAATAATAATTAAAGCAAATATTATGGGTAAAATTATTATTTAAAACATTTTTAACATTTATAGTTATTATAGTTAGTACATGTATTAGAATGATTAAGAAATCTACAGATTAAAAAAGTTTTATACTGTATTTTTATGTATATAACTTATAGCAGTGTAATCCTGCAGAAAATTGCTAGAACAAAGATAAAATCTTTTCATAACCTGCCCCAACATACACTATATAGCTAGTCCTATAGTACTAGCTATATGGTGTATGTTGCTTCATAGCTACACCATATAGCTAGTCCTATAGGACTAGCTATATGGTGTATGTTGCTTCATAGACATGAGTTTGTGATTGCAATTTAAAATTGTCAGTAAAAGAAAGAAAAATTATTTTATATAATAATAATATTCTCTTTTATGATTAAAAATATTTTATATGTAAGACTTTTATAAACTACTGTATACCTTTGATATGAACATTATAAAAATATAATTTGAAAAATTGTGTGAGATATATGAAAGAGTTTTTGTTAGCATACTAAGGTAAACACCCAGCAAACACAGAGTAGATGTTAGAAAATTAATTCATTTAATTGTGATATAACTTTGTACAGATTCAATAAAGGATGCTAACTCTAGGATGGTTACTCTGGTAGTAATCCTAAACCTGATTGTTGGTGAAACAATTACAGGATTAAAAATGGTCACAACACATGAAACTATGATAACAATCTATATATATAATCGAGACGGGTTGATAATAATAATAAGCGCAGAGCCCAAATGGTTAGGAGTTGAAATTTGTACACAGTTAGGGTACATTACGAGAATGCACACTAAGAAGGGATTTTTCGAAATTCCTCTCCACGGGGGAGAGGGACAGGATTAAGGCTTAACACTTTTATCAACAATGAAAGTGTTAAGTAACAATGAAAGTGTTAAGTAACAATGGAATTATTAAGAGAAAGCGATGTGCAAGACACAGATGCAGTTCTTTTCATTTTTGCAGGAAATCGAACATATTTTTAGACCCATCTAAAAATTCTCTAATTAGTCCGGAAACAGGGGGACATAATTCTTGCATTCTGTGAAAACGGGTAAGGTTGACTATAACGTAATAATTTTAATCTTTGCTATTGTTACTTTTGCCCGAGCAATGCTGGGCCTACCTGCTAGTTATCCAATACAATAAACAAGAATAATTACTACAATGATAATTTTCCTAAAACTAACTCTTAATACTAAACTACACTAATATGGAAAATTGAAGATGGGCAAGAAGAAGTTATGTTGATGAATAGGACAGAACAAAGATTACTTGCGTCTTGTGAATGTCATTTAGCCCTCATTGTGAGGGCCATGTGGAACTTCTTACAGCAAATTAATGTTTCCTTTTTCTCCTCAGTTCTTGAGGATTTTGATAGATAATCCATTGGTCACTTATTCAAACCTCACAATTGGTCAAGTTGATACTGAATTCAACACACACTAACTTCAGTGCAGGAATTTCAAAGGTTCCTTCAAAGTTAAGATGTGAAATCTTAATTTTGAAGGAATCTTTGAAACCATGTATTCAGGAACCAGACAAAATTTCACACACCTGTCCTCAGTTCATCCTTTCTCTTTGAGTACCAGCTCAAAAGTGACCCTTCTTTCCCATGTATGCTTTTAGGTAACCTTGTACTCATTATACTGGTTATTCCAGGAAGTGGCTCTCACTGCCAAGAAGGAAGAATTAAGAAGATTAAAAAGATCTAGAAGGTAAAAAGAAGAAAGAAACAGGGGGAAAATGTAGGAAGAACAAAAAGACAAAAACAGACATATGGTGTACAGCCATATTAAAAATAAAATGTTATGTGAAAATTTTCAGTAAAATTGTTAGAATAAAGTTTTAAAAATTAATGCTGCGTCAGTAAAGAAATATTACTAATACAGAAATGAATAAAAAGTTGACTGTTTTTAATAGTTTTTCTTTTAATATTATTAATATGAAATATTAAATCACAATAATTATGATTAAGTTTTATAAAATGTTTCAGCTTATTCTATCATTAATTGTGAGGTGCTCTATATAAATAAAATATATTGAATTTAGATGTTGCTACTCTTATTATTTAATTTACAATCTTTAAATATGTAGTGATTCTGTCTTAATAAACTAAATATTACAGTGGAATTATTTTATTACCAATAACAATAACTGTGTAATATTTACATTAAGCAAATTTTAAGTCTCAAATGAAACTTAATAAAAACTACTGATTGCAGATGGCTTGTACAAAATAAAATATAAATGTAGAGAAATTGATATATTAAAGTATTAAAATTGCATATGTAGTATAATCAATTGTGGCTGTTTATAGCCATTTTATAAATATGTGTAATGAATGTTCAGAAATGATGTACAATAGTAGTTTTTCGTACTCTATTTATTATGTAACATAGTTCAACACATTAGAGATCTCAATATATTCTCACCAACATCAATACATCATTGCCATCTCTCTGGCAATTTCATAATGGTATTTCAGAATCATTCTTTGCAAGTAATGCAGCACCAGTTAAGGACAGCTGCCTGCAGTTCTCGTTATTTGCGAATTTTCAATCTTACAGGAAGGTTGAAAATTCACAAATAATCAGATGGAGCAAGGTCTGGTGAATATGTTAAGTGAGGCACAACATTGAACCTTAGTGATACCAACTTTGTGGTCATATTGTTGATGGTTTGGGGTCTTGCATTGTTATATTGGAGCAAAACTCCTGATGACTACATCCCCTTTTATCATTGCTGAATCCTGCATCTAAGCACCATAAGTGTCTTGCAGTACATCTTATTGTTGATGATTGTTCCTTGCAGAAGCCAGTCCATTAGCAATGTGCCTGAAGTGTTCCAAAAGAATATGATGATCTGCTTTCCTGCAGATGGAGAAGTGTGAAATTTCCTGGACCAGGGACTTCCTGGATGTTTCCATTGCATGGATTGGAATTTCTTTTCTGATGTGTGGTAGTGACATCATGACTCATCATCAGTTACTTGCTTGGAATCCCATGGAACTCAATGTGTGCACATATTTTTCATATTCAAATCATCATGAATGATGATGTGCAGGGTTGTGTGCCCAAGGCTTGTCTCATTCTCCAATTTATAGTGATGGAATGATTAATTGGAATTGGAAAAATTAGACATTTTATGGGAATCAGAATTGGAATTGAGCAAATTTCATCATGATTTTTGGTTCTTAAAACATTTCTTCTACTTTTAATAAGAAAATTAATTATTTGTTTCAATTGTTGAAGATTAAAATATTTTAAAATTATGTTATTAACAATTATGTATTAGTTTATTGGAAACTTTCAGGTTGATAAAGTAGAGATTATATGACACCTCATACATGAGGTGATGTTTGTCATGGCAGACTTTTCTTTCGTCTAGTCAGAGTGATGAAAGATTGCACTTGGTCAGTACTAATTGTTCCCATTTTAGGAGGAATATTACAGTTGCCATCTGGCCTGCATTTATAACGATATGCAAACACATGCTAGTTTGCATATCAGGGAGTGCATACAGTGATGCCAGACTCTGCTACTGTGCACCAAATTTAATTTTTTACTCTTTTGGTAAAAAAAATATATTCCACTTTTTAAAATAAACTTCAACATGAAAAATTTATGAATTTCTTTTAGCTTTGTTTTGTTTAACCATTCTGATATACTACTCCACACTTAAATGGCAAATATTGTCTCCTCCTCATTTTATTTGATTTGCAAATCAGTTAGAANATTGTTAAAGATTAAAATTTTTTAAAATTATGTTATTAACAATTATGTATTAGTTTATTGGAAACTTTCAGGTTGATAAAGTAGAGATTATATGACACCCATATGTGAGGTGATATCTGTCATGGCAGACTTTTCTTTCATCTAGTCAGAGTGATGAAAGATTACACTTTGTCAGTACTAACTGTTCCCATTTTAGGAGAAACATTACAGTTGCCATCTGGCCTGCATTTATAACAATATGCAAAAACATGCTAGTTTGCATATCAGGGAGTGTATACAGTGATGACAGACTCTGCTACTTTGCACCAAATTTAATTTTTTACTCTTCTGATGCCAAAAATATATTCCACTTTTTAAAATAAGCTTCAACATGAAAAATTTATGAATTTCTTTTAGCTTTGTTTTGTTTAACCATTCTGATATACTACTCCACACTTAATTAGAAAATATTGTCTCCTCCTCATTTTTTTTTTTTTTTTTTTTTTTTTTTTTTTAATTTTNGTGGTGAGGGAAGTGAGCTAGCCAGCAGGCGTCCTTTCAGAGACAGGAGACAGGTTTAACAAAATAACAAAGCATTTATTATACAGCTAACACTAAAATACAGGAGGCTGCACAAAGTTAAATGCGGTTAACATAAGATTATAACTATGTCTATTTTATGACAACTATGCCTACTTCCGTTTCGAGAGAGAGTTTGCAGTCTGCTGAAAAATTACCTCTAAAGTTGGAGGAGTCCTATATGCGGTGATGAAAGTTCTTTATGGAAGTGTTGGGCGTTGTCTTCTACCATTGCGGGAGATGAGGAATCACTATGACCAAATATAACTTCCATGTGTGAATCCTCGAGCTTCCCATGGCTCGCATCTTTTATATCATTGTCGTGGGAAATCTAACACATGATCAACTTTTGTTGATGATAACGATGCATTCTTGACAGCTATGTGTCAACTTTCCCACTGATTTGTTATTACAATTGGTGACCTCTGATCCAATTTCTATCTCTCTGTTTTTTCTAATGAAGATGTTACAATTTTTTTCCCAACAACTATGTAAAATTCGCGGATTTCACAATGTTCTGTTCTAGCAAATTTATTATTTGAAATATGTAAAACTTCAGATACATTCAATAAAACATTGTAAGCAAATCTTTCATGTACAAAAGGTTGAAATGAATATGAGTTCTGAGATAGTTTCCTGTGGAGTTATATCAGAATATTATGGAAATATCACTCATTATGTAAAAACACTTCACAAGACAATTATTTATTGAAAAACCTTTATTTATATCCAAAATGTATACTTTACATTGATTTCAAAAACACATGCATTAAATATTTAAAAATACAAATTGGACTCAAATATACCAGGCTTAATGATGATAACTTGATTCTAAACTAAACAGATTTAAACCTTCTGGTTTGGTTATTCTATATAATAAGGGTTACAATGACAAATAATAAAACTTACACAATATATCATACATCTAGGATAAGGATCTTATTTGATTTATATTAACATTAAAGATAAAAATTATAACTATGAAGGTTCGGTTTCCTTTATTAATTAATGTATGTTTTACTTTATTCCTTCTCAGATATGTAAAACACATAAAGACAATTGGACATCAGATCTATTGTCTATAAATGTTTGACCTCAATTTTTAGGTTGGAGATCTTGCATATCGTACTCAAGAATGGTATGGGAACATATTGTTATTGTTTTAAAAAACACTATGATTTAATCTAAGAACTTTTAAAAACCATTATATTAGATATATTAAATCATTTACTTTGAGAAGCTTTATCAGTCAATTAGGATTGAAACAGAATTTTTCTTCAAACTGATTATTTTCAAGAATGCATCTATCTAACTTCTCAGAGCTCTTTTAAACATAATACTTCATAAAGCTTATTTTAAGTTTTACAAAATCTTTTATATGCAGGAAGTCATTCTGATGAGATCCCTAGTTGGCAAATTGACAAAATCATAGTTAAGATGTAAAAGAAGGCCTTCAAGCCATAGCCCCTGTGTTCAGCAATTATAACTTGCAGCACTCTGTATATGGTATACCCCAAGACCATTCTGATAAAACAGTTTTACTAGCAAAGCTCTGTCTTTCTTCTGTAAGGACATGATTAAAAATAACACAAAGGCATGCAGAATGATTTTTCAGGCTTTGAATGTCTTTTTTTAGTAGATCTGTTTACTTTGCAAGGATTTCTTGAAAAGTGCTATCTGGCAGTGATTTTTTATTGCAGAAATTTCTTTCCCCTGATCTATATAATGTATATACCAAGTTTCATGAAAATTTGAATGGGCTGTAGAGTGGTCTGCATAAGGTCCTAAATTTAATTATAATCATCCTGTATTTTATTTATTGTTTTTATGTTTTAATGTATTATTGGGGCATTTAACTGTATTATTTTTACCTTAAATTTTGTGTATTTGTTGTTTTAAGTTTATTGAGATGGGTGTTAGGGTATATATATAGGATATGGAAACTTTCTGTTATTTCTAATAGGAAAAATTGACTTGGATTTCAAATGATTCAAAGTTTGAATGGCCTCCTGACATGAATTAAATTTGAAGTATAACACACTGCTGTATTTAAAAAACGGTGTATATTGATGAATACTATACTTCAAGAGTATTTATTAATGCATCATAAGTAATTCTGTACACTGTATATGAAAATAATATCTTAAATATTTGATTTAAAGTAATTTGAAATGGACATTTGCTTTCTCTGTTTTAACTTTTTTGATAAGATGATGTCTTCAATATTTCTTTTCTACTTGATGAAACAGATTCTAGAAAATGCCCAATTTTCATCCAAATTTGTTCTCATCAATTACCACTTTATTTCTCTCTATTAATAGAAAGATTAAACTCATTAGCTTTGTTATATTATTTAATAAGAATAAAGCATAGACTAACTTGTTCTTGGAGATATTAATAGCAAGTTATACATATTTTTCATAGTAAAATTGAATAGGAGAAAATATAGAAAATAAAGTTAGAAAAAGATTGAGACAATTTTTGCACCTTACACAACAGTGCAACGTGCTCTACACTGTCATTGTACATGCCTATGGTTCTTTGATTTTATCATCCATCTGGGATGAGGAAACTGGTCTCTTCAAAGAGTGTATTTCATACAAAGGAGTTATAAATCCAGGTGGTCATTGGCATGGAGGATTAAAAACA